AGCTTGTAGGTAAACAGCATGTTTGTGTAAGAATCCTAGGAACTAATCTTACAAGATATAAACTCTGACCTTCCAAGTTCTGGGAGATTTGCTGACCTTCAGCATTAGAGCCAGGAAGACAAAGGCTAGGATGATGCACACTGGACCGTCACCTGACCACTTGCAAGATCCTTATCAGATTGGATTCTGCCTGTGGGCTCATAGAGAACTTCTCAAGACCCGCCCCCTGACCTCTTTGCTCTTTTTGGCCTCTCCCTCCTTATAAAAGCCTCTGCCTGCACTGAGATTGCAGATGGGATTTGGGACGAGCTTCCCCCATCTTCTCAGGTTGCCGGAACCTGAATAAACCTCTTTCCTTCCTCACCACCACCTGTCTCACGGAACTGGTTTCTGGGGTGCGAGTCAGGGGAACCTTGTTTTTTCTGGAAGCATTCCTGATACATGGACTCCCTGTAACAGGTGTATCATGGCCATGTTCTTTCTTCTGCAGGTGACAGGGGGAAGCAGAGACCAGTCACAAGGGAAGGAGCGAAGAACAGTGCTTTGCCTTCAGAGCAAGAAGAACAGGCAAGAAAAAGAAGGATAGGAGGAGGAGGAGGAAGGATTGGGGATGGAGTCTGATCTGAGGGAGGAATTTGGACTTTGTGGACTGAAGTGAGTTTAGCAGCAAACCCATACAGCTCTTGCCAAGGGAATGGCTGAGGTTTGGGGAAGGGAGAGATCATTCTATAAGTGATGATATGAGAACTCAGGAATCCTACTTGCTGTTTCCCCTGTCTCTTTGCTTCCTGTTTGCCTGTTCAGCTATCCGAGGTTTCTGTCTGACCCTGAATATTTTGGTCCTGCCTATCTCACCAGCACCTGGGAAGCAAGACCGCTGTTAAGAAGCCCACCTGGATGCTGATATTAGCTTTGTTCCTCTGCTAGCTGTTAAAGGTAAAGCATATTATTTTCACGGGGTGGGTTGTTCTATGGTTGGTGAGTTCCCTCTGAGATGATAAGAAAGAAGGTGTTGGTGTCATGACAAAAAGAAAAGTTGAACCAACTACGAAGTATTAATTAAGAAAAAATGAAAAGAATAGAAAGGAGCCCGGCTGCCATGGCTCAGTTGTTTAGCTTAAACCTAGGAACCAGGAGATGTCAATTCGATACCCAGTCATGGCACATGCCCGGGTTACATGCCCGGGTTAGTCTTCATCCCCAGTAGGGGGCATCCAGGAGGCAATGAATTCATTATTCTCTGTCATCATTGATCTTTCGCTCTCTCTCCTTCTCCCTTCCTCTCTGAAATAAGTAAAACTATATGAAAAAAAGGAATGAATAGTCATGGCACAATAATAACTGTGTATGTTGTCTGATGGGTATGAGATTAATTGCATGATTTCTTGGTCCATTATATAAAATCTAATCATTGGGGTATACCCCTGAAATGAACCCAAGGTTGTATGTCAACTGTCATTTAAAAAATGTTTTAAAAATTCTATAGGACCATGTTACCTTCACAGAGTCACATTTTACTTCAAGTATGTTTTGTACAGTTTGTTCTCGAAGAAAGATCTAAAGGTAAAAAAGAATGAAAAGTTGAGATTTATAAATTTGCAAAATAAAACAAAGGCAACCACAAACACAACCGTAAAAACCATAAAGATAAAAGCAGAGGTAAAATGCATTTGGAGACCCTATTCCCTGTATTTCGATGCCAGGACCGAAGTAGCGAGAGGCTCTGAGAAGCTGTGGCTGTTGCTCCTTGGATGACGGAGGGGTCATGGCCGAGCTCCCATCAAAGGTGCGCCTCACATTGCCCCCCATCTACCTGAGGATCCGTGGGCCCTCAGTGTATGAGGATGAGAACCAGCGCACGTGGCTGCATCTCTTCTTGGAGACAGGAGGTGTCCTGCAAGTACGGTTGCGCCAGGAAGACATCCCCAGTGGGCATATTCAACTCACCACCACCCCGCCGACCTCGAGCACCATGCCTTCCTGGTGGACGCTCCAGTTTGGCAGACGGTACCTGGACTCCATGCACCAGATCTGGCGCATAGTGCACCAGGGTAATGAGAATGGCGTGGAGGAAATGATCCTTGAGCTGACAGAAGACTCGTAGGACATGTGAGTGGGTCCCTGGCTCTTGTCAACCTGATCCCCAGTCCTGCAGGCCTGCCGGTGGCACCTGTATAGTTCTGTTCACCTTTTTAATAAGCTCTGTAATCTATCTGCCACCCCCTGGGTATGAGGGCACATTGATATCTCTCTCTCTCTCTCTCTCTCTCTCTCTCTCTCTCTCTCACTGTCTTTCTTCTTATTCTAGTTCTTCCTGTTCTTGCTCTTCCTGTTGTTGTTGTTGTTGTTGTTGTTCTTCTTCTTCTTCTTCTTCTTCTTCTTCTTCTTCTTCTTCTTCTTCTTGTTCTTCTTCTTGTTCTTGTTCTTCTTCTCCTACTTCTCCTCCTCCTCCTCTTTCTTCTTCTCTCTCTCTCTGTCTCTCTCTCTCTCTCTCTCTCTCTCTTTCTCTGTCTCTTTGTCTCTCTGTCTCTCTCCCTCTCTCTCAAATCAATAAACGCATTTTGAGCCAAGCTGGTGCTTCACAGTTTTTGAGGGATGACCTGTGAACCCGGAGGTCATGGTTCAATTCCTGGTCAGGGCACAGACAAGAATTAATGAATGAGCCCTAGCTTGTTTGGCTCCGTGGATAGAGGGTTGGACTGTGGACTCTGGAATGTCCCAGGTTCCATTCTGAACAAGGGCACATGCTCTGATTTTGACCTCGATCCCCAGTAGGGGGAGTGCAGGAGGCACCCGATGTATGATTCTCTCTCATCATTGATGTTTCTCTCTCCCTTCCTGTATGAAATCAATCATTTATAATAAAAGCCTAATATGATAGGTGTCCAGTCCACCGGTCATCTGTTCAACCATTCAAAGCATAATATACAAATGATATACTAAGGTTGCTCAACTGCTCACTATGACATGCATTGACCACCAGGGACGAGACATTCAGACTGGTAGGTCAGCTTGCTGCTGAGGTCTGGCTGATTGGTACTGAGATAGACATGCTTGACACACCCTGGAGCCCTCCAATGGTCCCTCCCCAGCTGGCCAACCTCCCGTGTCACACCCCAGATACAATGGTGCACCGGTGGGGTCCCTTGGCCTGGCCTGTGGCCTCTTGTAATCTGGAACCCCTTGGGGGATGTCAGAGAGCCAGTTTCAGCTGATCCCCGCAGGCCAGTCCGAGGCTACACTGATGCACCAATTCGTGCACCTCTAGTAAAAATATATTAAACAGAAAGACAAAGAAAAAGACCTTAAGCCTGAAAATATTAGCCCAGCCCCGGTAGACAAGGCTAGAAGACATCACTGGAAATAGTTTTCATTTCAATGACCAGCGTTCTCATTGTTTGATCCCCTGAGGTTTGTCAACCGATACTACCCTCTCCAAAAAAAGAACCAATGTTTTGGGGGATTAGGAGTGCTTTATGCTGATCATCTCTTTCCTTTGAGGAATTACGAGGGATGCCAGGGCTCATCTCCTGAGTCCTCGAGCCAGCTCTGTGTGGGTTTAGCGTCTAGCTCTGCATGCATTTGGTTTTTAATTGTGTTTAGCACTAAACAGCCCCAAAC